CTTGTGACTTTTAGTGTATGATCAATCGACTGGCTCTGATCATAGAAGGGAAGAGTGTAATGACCTTGGAGTGACCTTGGAACTAGATTAGATCCTTTGGAGGTACAGACATAGCTTTAGGCCTAACCCTCACGTCACTCCTTTCTGTGGCTTTCTGAGAGACTCTATAACTTTTGGTGTGACCCATTCCTATCTCTTCTTCTAGGCTGGTTCACCGGAGGCTTCACTTTCTCTTGTTTGGTTTTAACAAAAAACCGTTGTGGTTGAATTTTTTTTAAACCCTTTTTTGAGACGGAGGAAGACCAACTTTTTAAATTCAAAGTTCAATTTTGACGGCAAATATTTTCGCCTGTCACTCCGATGTCGCCCCTTTTCGACAAATTTGAATCAACCTATTATTTACAATTTCTGACTTTTTTGGGAGTGCTCCTGAAGGGGGAATCAAAATTCCAGGTGATTTCCAATTTTGACTCATCTTCAATCTCCCTGCCGCCACCAAGCACCAGCAGGAGGGCATCAACAAATTTGTATCTGTATTTCATTTTTTAATTTTCTTATTATCCGAGAACATTGGTGATAATCATCGAACAAGATATCTCTTTTACTGCCCTGCTCAAAAAGATATTTTCTAAAAAATTTTGAGATCGTCGTCATTCAAAGTCTTTCTTGGTTTGTTTTTCAAAAGGTTCTCATACTTTCCTCCCGTGTAAATGGCACCCAACTGAGTGATCGAGTTGAAGGCAATTCCGAGATCTTTGATGTAACTGAGATTAGAATCGGCGTACTTTTTCAGCCATGCTTGTGTTGTAGGGGATTCCGGATCAAGAATCACTCCTGCAATCCAGCTATCCTCTGAATCTGGTATTTCATTTTTCTTCAACTTCTTTGCGGCAGAATCCAAGTCTTTTAAGTATTTGTTGAAGCTCTTCTCGTTAATTTCCTCCTTCGCAATACGTTGGCCAAAACGATCGTCCCTACCGCCAAAACTATCAGCAATGTACCAACCATCATCGGGATCCTCGTCGAATTCATCAGCCTCTGCAGCACGTATGTCGTCATCCGATAATCGTTTGTAGTCGGACATTCTACCCATCTTTCCGCGTTCAACAAACTTTGGGCGTGCTGAGGCTTTCCAGTCTTCAGTAGTTCGAGACTTCTCGACTTTTTCCAAGGTGAAAAGGCCTCCGAGTAAAGCAGTCATCTCGCGTTCTGTAAGACCCGCATTCTTGAACGCTTCTCGTACTTCCCTGGGCGATCTACTTCCAGAAAAGATGTCTAGGGGGAGCGAGCTATATTCGATCTTTTTCTTGTCCATTTCCATTCGCCCAAGTTGCACAGCCAACACGGGCCCTCCAATGGATTCAATGGCTTCGGCACCAGCAACGGCAATGCAATCGGCAATGGAAACAGCAGTCTTTCTCTTGAGCTCCTTTTCGGCTTGAACGAGAACATCGGCAGCTTCTCTCAGGTTTTTCATGTACTCGCTTTGGTCTTTGTTATTGAATAGAGAGTACACCACCCCGCCATTGGGGCCGTATCTACTATTCTTCGAGTCGAACGAAAGTCCATCAAGGAGAGCCAGTTGATAGAAAGACGGGGCAAGCTTTGGATTCTTCAAAATTGCTCTTCTTGTTTTCTCGCGCACACTATCTACAGTTCCAACTCTTAGTTCTTGGTCTCCGTACATGGCAGGGTCGAAAAATACTTCAGCTTCGGCTCTAGTTGCGTGGCCGAGAATGCCAATGGATGCAGTGCCGATTAACGTTTCGCAAAAAGCGCGGCGGTTTGGTGAAACTGACGAAGCTTGATTTTCGTGGGAAGAGAGCTGAAGAGCGCTGCATACAGCCGCATTAGCTGCGAACAGTAAGTATGAAACTCTCATGATGAACTAACTTTTTTATGCCGATTGTGGATTTTGCTCTTGACAATAATATCTTGTTATTAACCCTTATGTATATCCAGGAATGTCTGGGGGTCCGTACATTTCCACGGCGCCTACGGCGCCGCTTGTGCGCATTCTGTCTACATCTATCCGTCATGTTGAGCCATCAATAACGGCACATCCTGGT